TATAATAAGAATATATATATATATATATATATATATATATATATAAAATTGGAAGGTATAATTCTGTTAAAGATTGGAAGGTATAATTCTGCTGATTCAAACATATTTGAATTCAAATTCATATATTACATAGCTTCTCTGCGCTATTCCCATTTCACATATTTATTTATGCATGCAAGACATCCGTTGATTAACGATATTAGTGTCAAGAAAAAAAAAAGCATAATTAAATTACCAATTAAAATATAGCATCACCTGTCAGTTGCTCAAATTGTTCTGCCTGTGGCGTGCTTACCTTCAGATGTTCAAGTTTGCATTCTTTCAATCTTTTGGAAAATCTGAAAAATTGTATATTTTACTATTATTTTGTAGATTGTTTTTTTTTGCCAAAATAAAAAACAGTAAATGACTTACAAGCTTAAGATATCGAAATCTATCTGACCAGTCTGTTCCACAGTTTCTACTAGATTTTGAAATCCGTGCTTTTTCTGAAAAAATTTCGAAGAGTAAGTGGAAGAATTTTTGTCTAAGAGAAAAAATTCTTTTGCTTCTTTAATTCCTTTTTCACAGAATTTAAGAAATTCCTCCAAATGAACAAAAGATCAGTGGTAGAATGTAGAAGTTAAAAGTGCAAGGAAGTATTATTGTAAATGGTACTGGAAAATTTCTCAACAGTATTTCTTTACTCTTTTTACTCCTCCACTTCTTAGCACAACTCTTACACCCTCAAAGATACTTTATTCTTGCCGTTCGCAGAATTCCATGCGGTTTCATATAACCACGTTTCTGCTGTATGATTTCGGAATTAGAAAACGTTGTTGGTTGCGATACTAGAGTGGTCTTCGTGAGTAAACGATCACTTTCAAAATTATTTTGATGACCATTTGATGCTTGAACAGGTGAAATCTGTAGCGGCAGAATAGGAGGTAGAGAAAGAGGAAGAGGTATTTCATGAAAAGTCGGATTTACCACAGGATTTTTTAGGAACTCCGAATAGTCGGGAGGTCGAGTAACGGTAAGTTCGAATGAGCACGACCGTGTTCGCGATAAATCTGTAACATACTCAAAAGAATAAAGAAATGATGGAAATAACATAACTTTTCCAATAACCGTTACATATGCATAAAATGAAAAATACAGTGAAGAAGCCAACTTCTGACAAAAGTGCTTCTTTACGTTTGACTATAGTTATTAACAATATTCTACAAGCAAAAAGAGCCAATTGCATACCATGCATTTTTGGAGGATTACTAGGGCCAGCTGGAAGACTACTTTCAAAGACTCTGGGTTGTTTCTGAATCGTTGACATCTGAAGTTATTTACTTTAGAGAAAGACAGTATGAATCTCTTGCTTCTACACAGTAAAAATTACATATGGTACGAACATAAAAGTTTCAAGAGCCCACAGTATGTAATGCTAAGTTTCAAAAACCCGACCTGAACATCTCATACGGTATATGTCAATATCAACAATTTAACAGTGTGGCTTGGAAACAGGAAGGGAAACGGAATACATTTCAAATAATAATGACTATTTGGTGAATAACATGTAAAATAGCGTAATAGCTAGCTCTCACTGCAAGTCTTCTGTTGGGTTCATTCATGCCGTTTTGCTCCTACTAAGGCTATATTACACTGAATAATGCAACAGTATTCTGGCAATTATCAAATGAAAGATTACTCGGTCTTGAGTGTTATCCTCCCGTTGTAATCTGGCTCTCCTTTTAGCATACATAATATCCTTTAATGACTCGAAGGGCATCTTCGAATTTACGGTTCCTACAAATTTTAAACTCCTAAGGGTTTTGATATAAAAATGAATTGGAAACGGTTTAAAACGCAGACATTGAATAACCCGGCATTTCTACGATGCCTGATGGTTCCTGTACATAGCACACTTATCTGTGATGCACATGAAATCTTTTAGTATAGTTCATCTTTCTTTTGGTTGAAAAAAGAATTCAAAGAGTACTTCTAAGTACTTCTTCATAAAAGCGATGAAGTATTACTTAAGGCAGAATCTCGAGACAAACCCGACTCCATCGTTTGAAGATGGCTCGATATACGTTTCTGAAATCCGCCAAAATCAAAAAAAAGTAGCATTCAATGAAATGGAAAAACTAACACAACAGGAGAAACTATATTACCCAAAATCTTTATCGAATCAGAAACTGGGTAAAGCGACTGATTAAAGTAATATATTTACATGCCTTACAAGAAAAACTGTACATATAATTCTCATTCCCTTTATTTTTACCGCTTTTTTTGGATCATCGTTAATGAGAGCTGAAATGCGAGTTTTGTCAGTTACTTTCACTGGCAATTTCTTCTGTTTTTTTTGCGTGTGTCCACCAATCTTTTCCAGTGGTTTCTGAAATCCATCTGGTAAATACAGTTCGGAAACTTTGTAATACATCTATGGTGTTTCAACCTTGGCTTAATTATTGTTCGCTAAATTTTAATCTCAGTGCAATCTTCATTGTAGGTGGAAAGAGCTGAAGTAAAAACAATTCGAATTATACTTTTTCATTGCTTTAGTTAACATTTGGAGGTAGGCAAATGCTACTTTTTATCAGAAAAAAAAATTTTCCCCATCCTAATAGTGACTAGGCCAATAGTTATTAAAAGAAGGTTTTCACTACATTATTCTTTCTCATTTTTTCTTCCAAAAGCATTTGTTCCTTCAGCCGCCATGCTGCCTGTCTTGCTGGTGTAACAGCGCGTTCCTTTCTTGAAAAGTTTGGTTCAGGCTCAATATCTGCAATAAGTTTCAGTCAGCTTATAAAAAATGATCCCCTATAATTCCAATCGTCTAAATGAATGATATTAAAACATGAGTAGGAAAAAGCATTAATTTCAAACGTGCAAGTCAGGGAAAAAAAATATATAATATTATCGCCACTTTTTCAGATCAATCAGAACTAATCGTGTATGCATTTGATGAATTATGAAATTAAACCGCAACAAAAGAAAAAAATTAAACGTCGAACCACAACACATATAAATGTTTCTATACTATGACCTGACCTTCCACTTGAATTTTAGGTGGTTCAATTACTGACTCGTGAACCTGTTCATCATCCAGTAAACTGCAAAAGCTCATTCCATCTGTAACTAAACAGTACAATACAGAAATCAATCATAACAACTGATGATGCAAAAATCTTCCGTTTCAGAATAGTTTTCAAGTTGTCACCCTTTTTAATTTAGGTTTTGGTTTTTGGAATTAAAAAGTTTAGATATAAAATAAATAGAAACACTCTTCTTACGTCCTCAATTTAAAATATATTCCAAAAATATTTATAAAAAGAAAAAATCACCGAGTGAGCACTGAGCACTGAAATGAGCACAGTGAGCACTGTTTGACTTTCCACTTCGTTTAGTTGTGATATCACCATCAATTTCAGCCAACTCACCCGCTCGTTTTGCTAAAAACAATGCAATGGAATTTCTTTTTCTGACTAAGAAGAAGGCATTATTAATTTGCAATTTGCTTTTTAAATTCTAATACCTCTTTTAACACAGCACTGGACTGCTAGCAACTTCGCCCGGTCCAATGCTGTCAAACTTTCCAATGCACTATCCGAATATTGCAACAGCTTTATCTGGAAATCCATTATTTGTAACGCCCATTAAGCTGTGAAATTAAGAACAAATTGTAAATTTAGGAGATTAGATAAAAGAGAAAGGAAATGATGATTTCTATGGAATCTGAACATTAATGCTAAAATATTGTTGAGTGGATAGAGAAAGAGAAGAAAGCTTCTAGAAAAAAATCAATGAGAAAAATCTCATTACCTTCGTCATTTTGTAAGAAAAGAAAAGCAATAAATATAAATGTGTTTCTCCTTCCGAGTAACCTTTTTGCCACGACGTTTGCAGATCGCTAAATGGCGGAAAATTTGTAATATCGTTCCAAATTGAGCTGTGCATCCCTTAGCACCACAAGCAAACAATGCCAAATCAAGGTGCTTCTGACAAAAGTGTTCCTCGAATTCATCGTAAGTATCGAAAGTTTCTTTGCATTCGCCGCCATCCACAGATGCAAGACACCAAAGTTCCTGAAAATAGGCGACATGTTTCCCACAACATATGAATATGATACTGCTTATCAACACAGGCGCTTAAATTGGTCTAGAAAAGGGTCAATGGTGGAGGACAGAGGTAGAGATGGACTTAAGGGAGAAATGAAGATAGGCAATGGAATGAAAATTGAAATCAAAACATATCGAAAAAATAAAATAACAAGAAAGTAAGAATTAGCAAAGCATTAAACGAAATAAGAAATAACTCGTGAGCAACTCACCGAACAATCCATCCAGTCACTTCAACCACTTTCCTGGAAAGTGCTATAAAAATGATGTAAACGTACAATGAAATGCATAAGCTATATCGAGCATGTTGATGATGCACACGCTAGATTCATGCACAAATATATAACTAAGTTCATCATATGACAGAAAGTCGTCAACCACAGCTTTTCACTTCATTCGAACCCATTCTTAACACGTACACTGTACTGGAAAAACCAGTGTGATGATTTTGTACTTTTTTACCAAAAGCTTGAGTTATGTTCCATCAGGGAATGCATGATATATATAATCTTAGATTTTAAATTAAAGTACCGTACTGCCAATGTTTCCCTAGTTTACGTACGATATTCAATAATTCTTACATCGTACTCAAATTGTTCATCTAACGAAATACAGAAATATGCAAATTACACTGAACGTTTCGATGAGTACGCTTCCTGATTTACTAACCCTTCATCTACTATTGTATGAAACTTTTTTTTTATCTAGCGAAATCTGAAATGGACATATCTACCTTCCCATATCACGATAACTGAACTGCTCATGTCTTTACGCAGAATTAAAAATAATAGTTCAAGGATAGAAAGCATCTATCACGTTGACAATAACACGATGAATGCAATCTCTCACGACAAAGGAGAGAAAAAAAAATGTCTCATGACAAAGGACAGAAACGATTGTCTGGGATCTACAACCCATTACTTGCGAAAATGAAATTTGATCCTTGCACACTGCTTAGATGGTAAATTGCCGATTATGGGGCATAAATGGAAGTGCAAAATGGCTGGATCGAGAAAGTAAAAATGCTACAAAAAGTGACTGGATTTTGGAAACATCTGCGGTTGCATATCAATGAAGCAGTCAAATCAACTGCTGCAGTGATAACAGCATTACACTCCCGCAATGACAAGTATCTGAAGTATATTTATATGTAATTTATATACAGAGCAGAACTTGAATAATCTATGACTACCATGAGAATTAAACTTCTGTGTTTTTTACTATGTCCAATTACTTAATTTCTTGCATATTGAACTTGATCTGCTGTATTTTACCTAATTTCTTGTGTGTTAAAGCAGAAAGAAATATCTGACACCATACGCCGACCATTCCGCATGTCAATAAGCATTGCAAGAAGCCACAAATGGGTAAAGGGAAGAGATAGTTCCTTTTAACGTTCTTCATTTCTAGAAAGACAGCAAATGGAAAAGACAGTTCTTCGGATGAGACAGTTGGATGTAATACCGCCCGAGCAGCATCTTTCAAATGAAGAGTAGTGTACGCAGTATAAAATATAAGGGAAAATGCTCAGGACTCAAGATCTATATTAAAGCACATTAATGAACTGGACGGCATCAATAAAGATGTGTAGCTGGATTTTTCGCGACCAAAATTGAAAGTGCTGTAAGATGCAAAGGATATGAGGAGAATACAGGAACCAGAACTTAATGTTTCAGGGGAATAACTGCATCAGTTAGCACAGCGAGCATAAAAGCTGTAAAGTGAAATTCAAATGTTTACCAGCCATTACTACCTGAATTGAATGCTGATCCTAGGCTAGAATATGGGGATGATCAAAAAAGATTGGTAGATCCGGAAGCCATTAAAAACCATTATTCTATTATGAATTACAACCGATTAAACGGAACGATTGATAACTGAAAGTGATTTTAGGAGTGAGAGAGTGCTAAGGCAACTGGAAGTATAGGGAGGAATATCGAACAATATTGAAAAAAAAAAAAGAAAGCCGGAGAAGAATATGTCACCCGTTTCGTGCCTCAAGTAGTAGGTTCGAAAAGAATGGTGTAGGCAAATAGTAATCGGCAGTTTTGAAAGAGCGCAATCAATGAAACTTCCGTCTTGCCTCCCAAAAGGAAGAAAAGCCAATAACACAGAATCACAATATGTCGCCAGTGCTAGACGTAAACAAAAATGAGCCAAGAAAGAAACACGAGATCTTGCTTCTTCTGTCTTTTGTAACAGAGATCATCGGGTTGCCAAGTGTCGAAATATATAGTTGTAAAGGAACGATTATATTTATTTGTACGCATTGTACTGTGAAAAAGTAACGGTATTTCTAATGTAGATACCATAATTCGGTCTTATATGAGATGAAGAAAGAAGAAATCAGGGCAACAATTGGAACACGACAAATGCCGGAATAATCGAAATATTTCTTAACATAGAAAATTGTCGAAAATATGTGGAATGACTGAAATAAATCCATAATACGGAATTTTAGTATAAAGACTGCTTTATTTAGAGTTTTTCTCAAATTTGTCATGTATCACTTATCTAACTCGGATCTTCCACTCAATAATCATGCTTATAGTCAATGTCTAAAATATATAAGGAGTTAGGACAAAGAAACTCTCTTAGCTCACCCGATTAACTGTGCGCTTCAATTTGCTTCATCAGTATTACCATTTATACTCTTTCAAATCTGTGCTAAATTACAACTTCAATCAAATCCCCACCAAATGTTCCCTCCGATGACAATGAAGAACAACTTGGTGATTGACTTTACTCGTAATATTCTCTTATAATTGTCCTACAATGTATACGAAATATAAATTCTCTGCTATCAATGAAACATTTGTCAAAATTACTTGTCTGGATCAATCATCGAAAAACTCCCACAAAAAGAACCTAAATAAAACTTCACAACTAAAAAAATAGCATGTAAACACGAGACAGTAGCGACATAATCATAATCTTTAAGAAGCATATTAGCTTATTGTTACCAATGGGTTGTGATCCTGTGTTGTTAGCTTTTGGTTCTTCCTTTGGGAAGTAAGACGGAAGTTTCATTGACTGCGCTGCTCCAAAATCGTTGATCATTACTTGATTACGCTATTCTCCTCAAATTTAGTACTTGAGGCATGAAACGGGTCACATATTCGACTCCTACGGCTCCTTTTTCCAAATTCTTTACAACTTATACTAACATCTTTCACTCACTTCTAAAGTCGCTTTCAGCTCTCGATCATTTGTTTGATCAATTGGAATTTATTACAAAATAACTTTTAAATAGGTTACGGGTCGCCAAAGCTTTCAAATGGGACGCCTCGCATGATGAATGTAGTCTCGAATAGTTTATAATACATCTCCCACCAAACACTTAACTTTCTGGACATTGGCAAAACTTTGCTCATCTACCGCTATCTTGAAACCAAACCAAAATTATCGCCGTGTTTTAGGGTCCTCCTGACATCCTTAAAAGAATGAAGATTGCTTAAAAAATGAACTTTCGCCTCTCGCTTTCATGCAGAAACACAATAATCAGGATTCATCACAATCCTAATACCTCACTGCTAACTCACACATCTACTATCATTAATAACCGAAGTCAATATCCCGACTTGAGCCACATCGGTGTACCGGATACCCTTAACATCGTTACCCATTCTATATTAATCATCAAAACCGTTTAAAGTTTTAAATATGATGCAACCAATATCCCAAATATGGAAACTCCCTCAGTCTGTTAAGTCGGGGATAACAGTCGGCTACTCCAAAGCAGTGAACCGCAGAATATTTAGCAAGTTAGTATTGAAATAGTTATATTAAGGACGCTCCAAAGAAATGAAAACTAAAGAGCCTTGTTCTGTGGAATTAGCAATTCTAATGAAATTTTCTGAAATTTCTGGAATCCAGTGGTACGGAGAGAAAGCGTACAACTCCAGAAAGTAAAACTTCCTAGCGAATGGAACAAATAAAAAGGCACAACCAATCGACCACTATAAGCCAAAGAGAATGAACGGTAAAACTGCCGGTCCGTATATGAGTTGAAAGAAGCAAAGGTTTGAGAGATTATTGTATGTATAAATAATGCAATGAAGGAGAGTAAAACACACATGCATCATCGTGCCACCTCTTTGGTCTTCAACAGAACTGTTCATAACAAATGATTAGCGTTGAAAATAAGATGCAAACATCTCAACATCAGCTTCTCAGAAACATCGAAGCGATGCCTGCCATATAGGTGAAAACCCTCACAAAAAAGGAAGTCGACTGAACCACTGAATCTTCGCATGCAATCATTTATTTTCGTAAGAATACAAATTTTGCTTGACAATGACAAAAGTAATCACTTTTTAGTTTGTATATGCATAGTATTTCTAAACACAATAATCATAACACATAATTCGATGTGTGCGCATCTGTGGGAAGAATGGATTGAATGATTTTACTGCGATCATAAATTCATCAGGTAATTAATGGAAACAGGCAGAGTCACTCTGACAATGAAGCGCATTAAATTCACGCACGCCAAGCGTATGAGCCTGCTTAACCATATTCCTCCAACGAAGATAGAGTGAAGAGAGGCGGAAGAAATAACAAAACAATGACAAATCGACATCGGAATTCTCACGATTTATACAAAAAAAAACTGTGATGACCTTCGCTTTCAGGATTGATTTTCCTCATACAGTCTCAGAAGGGCACGAAAAAAAGTAATGCAAAAGTGAGCTCATCAGTGTGACTTCAAAAAAAGAGTAAAAGATAGGGAGAAAATGGGAAATGAATTTTTTCCGAATATCCTACCTCACTTATGTTCTCCATTGTAATTCTCTTCATCAGGTATTCTTATTTCGAAAATTAAACAGGTCAATGAGACAGCAGTCTGGTCAGAATTTTTTCTGTTTTATTATTATACATTTATTAGGGCAGTTACTATCCTGGAAGCGTATCCGATTGTTTCACTTTTAACAAACGAACAGTTTCATATGGCAAATACTAAGCGTTTACAAAACAAGAATAAATTGCACCATTTCTCGCTGAAGGTGTGAAGAGCATTATAAGGAATGCTATCTTCTTCCTTACTTTATCAAGCCTTTTTTACCTCCAGTAAGCTGGTTCTTTTTCTACCTAAATCCTGATTTTAAGATGAGATATAGTTACTTCTACAAAGGACCAAAAGAAATCTTTAATTCTGGGAAGGGAAATCTCGTTCAGAAAAAGTGTGCATTTCGAATAGTGTAGTCCGTGCCCGAATTTTAAAGTTCGAAAAACAGTCTTAAAAACCACACTGCTACAGCAAGGAGCGAACAAAAAAAAAAGATAATAAAAATAAGATAAAATAAAACTGAGTTAGAATGTCTTCCACTAAGGAAGATCAGCGTATCTGTTGAAGTGCTTGAAAAAGATGCATGAATTAGACTCGCTTCGAATGCAATTTATCAGGAACCAACAGGAAGTACTTTAATGAATTCCCAAAATTCATTCTTTTTTCCTAAGAATAAATTCACGAAGAGTATTAAAAAATCTTTGAAAGGAAACGTAATTTCAACGACAAACATTAAAAATACCATTTCATGAAAATATGAGAAAATAAAAATATGATTGTAAGAAGGCGAGACTAACACAGCACAAAAAGATCTCCACTCGAAGCTCAAAATCTTCCTTTGCCAGTGACAGTTATTCAATGAGAACTGGTACTATCACAGTCAATTAAACTTCGCCTCCACTGCTGCTATCTGACTGTTGAGATTCTTTGACAAGAGAAGTTGCATGCATTTCATCCGTTACAAAGTACTCTTCGCTTTCTCTATTATCGCTGTCACCACCTAATTCCGATGATTCATTCTGAAAATTGCATAGAAATTATTGGAGCCAGAAGGCAGATTTGGCGAACACCAAGCAACTATCTCGAGAAGTGCTGCTCAAAGCTTTTTAAAGACAAATCTCACCATACATCAGTTCTCTAAACGGTGGACAATCAAAGCAGTCCATATTTCATAATTCAAATTAAATAAGAGACAAACAACATTAACCAAGGGAGGTGAATCAAGAATCGGAGGCAGTTCTTGTTCCTGCTGTTTCTGTAACGACACTTGGGCCTGTCGCTTCTCCACTGTACGCAATGGTTTGCCACCATTCGGTTTTAACCAGTCGTGCTGTAAGCATTGTCGAGCCGTCGCTCGCTCATCTTGATCAAATGCTAACATCGGAATAAGAAATGAAGCAAACTGTCCGGCTGATTCAATCGGCCAGTCATATTTCTGTGTTAGCACTTCCACCAAAGACCACGGCTTTAGCTGATGAATATGAAGCAGACGCCCATGCTGCAAGTATTTTTTACAAGCGTCATTTGAAAAATTATGAGCAATATTCCTAAAACAAAAGTCAATCAATTTAACAAATCTGTATTCAGTTAGCCGAAACTGACTAAATGTCAGGAAGCTAAATAACCAGCAAAGCATTGAGGTGTTGCGTTCAGACCAACTTGAGTAAAGTTAGTCTCGGTATATTTCTAGTAAATCAAAAGTATTGATAGAAACTGCACAATTAGATATAACATAAGAACATCAGCAATTATTTCAGTACATCATTTGCAAGCCGAAACTGTGATAGCGTCTCAAAATTTCAAGAGAAAGTGCGACCTTATCAAAGAATTCACGCCAATGAGCTCCTTTTTTGTAGACTCTTGGAGAAATAGTTCCTAGAAGTTCGATTATATGTGCTAGGTGATCTTCGTCCCTACTGTATGTATCACCGCTATGAGGTTCAAACAAATAATCGCCTGTCGCTAATTCAAATGCCTGAAAATGATAATTGATTACAGCAAATGAAATTGCCATTCAAACATACTCAACAAAGTAATTAGTGCAGAAAGAAGTGAATTCATAAAAATGAAATAGCATTATTAAAAACATCAAAGAGAATCTGTTATTTTCGAACAATTTTTGCATTTTCCTAATCAAAAAATGGATTAAATCATAATAGAAGATATTAATCACTAGTTCTCTATTATCTTTACTACTTTAAATTCACTTTTTTATACTTTCCAATCTTATCTATGCTTCTGACTAGATCAGAAACTATACTCCTGAAAATCTGTAAATTAAGTCGAGAAATACGAACCATGCAAGCAGTACTCCAGATATCAGCTGGTGGACCATAACCAGCGCCTATGAGCACTTCCAAACTTCGATACTGTCGAGTTTGGATATCTTCTGTGAAATGATGGTGCTAAAACACACAATATAAAAAAAAGGAAAACGTATTAAATTGTGCATCGAACTTAATATAAGTGATTTCCCAGTTATGAGATAATATTGCTTGTGTGAAGCAGGAGACAACTAATTTCCACTCAGCAGAAGCAAAATGCAAAAAATGAAAATGGTATCCAAAAACTAGTCCAATATTTGTTTATCACAAATAAAAACAAACCGTCCAGCAAGCATTTCCCAAGTCAGCAAGCTTGACATTGATCTCAGTGGCCGAATTTAAGTAATCTGACTCCATACGTCTCGGCGATAAACCATCTTTTTCTAATAAAAGTTGCAGAGCTAATTCTTTCATTTCATTCTCTGAACGTGTGTCTGACTCCACGTGATGAAAAAATCGGGGTGTTCCCTCTAGAACTGTAACATGGGTGAGTCGGATAACAGAGAAAAAGAGACAATTTTCGAAAAAGAAAAAGACGAAAAGTTCTGAGAAACTGGAATATCCAAAAATGCCAAAAAAAAAAAACATCTGAAGATCATCATTGATCTAATCATTAACAATTCGTGAAATACTGTAAAGCTTTTGGTGATATGGTTACTAGTCCTTTGAAAAAGGAAAATATCTCAAAATAAGTTGGCCAAAAGGAGATCTGAGCATTATCCAAGACTTACTGCATAATAAAATATTTTTGGCAGCTTTGACAAATACAGAATAAGAAATTAAGCGATAAAATAACTATCTGACTGTTACTGACAGTGAAACTGTTATAAGAAGCAATTCGCTACACTTAATTCAAGACTGGGAAAAACTTGAAACTCACCCAGATCATTATTACTGGCAGGACTTAGAAGCGAATATTCTGCTGTATTTTCTACTTCAACAGCTTTGAGTGCAACATTTTCGAGTGGTACCTAAAATGCATCCTAAAATACTCCTAAATCTTTAAACGCTAAATCTGAAGTAAAAAATTAAAGGAAAAGTAAAAACTAGAAATTTCGAGACAGAATAAACGACACAATGTATGTTGTATATTTTCCCTGGTAAGAATATCAGTCGAAGACACATACCTCAGCTGAAATACGTTGATTTTGTTGTGCAGCCGAACAAACAGAAATATCTTTACCAATAAAATCATTTATTTGTATGTCTTCAGCCTTCGTTGCCACTACTTCCGATTTAAGCTTAAGAGAAGTATAAATTTAAAAAGCATTAAAAATTTTTTTAATTAGAAAGATAAAAAATTTTACCTACTGCAACAAATATTTCCTGCTAATTAGAAAAATTTAAAAATGAGAAAAACACAAGCTTCTCGTGCCAAAACAAACATTACTCGAAAATGATATTACAAAACAATATTAGAGGGAAGCCCGAAATCAGAACATCGCTAATAACGATGTATGGCACAAGTAATAAGGATTATAGGTAAATCACTGAACAAAAATGGTGTAAATAATTTAAAAAAACGAAAAAAACGAAAACGAAAAAAAACGAACTAAAAAACGAACTGAACGTAAAACTGGAGTAGAAAGCTGGAAATATTATCAACCGTTTCTTCGTTTTTTTTTTTTTTTCTTTTTAAAATACATTTCAAACTAAATCAGGAATCATCAGCAAACCTATAATTACTTAATTTGAATATAACGGTACCAACGACAGGAACAAAGTATGAAGAAGGTTATGCACATTATAAGCAAACATATGCATAAGATATTTACTTGTAACGGCAACTCTTGCTTGCTGATGACATCATACCATACAGATTCAACTAAGAATTGCAAATAAGACGAAAAAAAATATCATCCCATTCTCCAATTATCATGATCACAACTACTCAATAACATGCATTAATGAAAAATGTGAGTTAGTTCTAGAACTAGTGATGAGAATTAAGCAACCAACATATAATACAATCTTGAATACAGCCTTAAAATGCTCATAGCCAACCTTAAAGCTATGCAATTGTCTCACTCACCTCTTATATACTATATAACCTATATTACAACTTATTTGTGCTGTATTCATCCGTACAACCCATACTTTATCACCTGTTCTACATAACCACACACAATGAATTAACATGAAGCACTTTAACCATCCATTCCAAAAATAAACAAAAGTTATGAACACCCTTAGAACTTATGGTTGTGTTATTCACTCACACACAATGTATATCTTAACCGTTTTTGTTGCAGTCCAGGGAAGGCAGTATTACTATTAATAGTTCAGTTAATGCTATCTTCATCAATATGCTGCTGCACTGGTCATGGGTTCAAGGCTCTTACAACATACTATTTGGATAGCAGCGATCAAATACCTGATTATATCTATACTGTTCATCAACGCTCAAGTATGTCGTACTGTAGAAAGCTGCTGTTGCTGGCTTAGCACCCACCGAATGACTTGCATATGGACGAATAATACCACTGGTGCCAATATTATCATGAGGTCGTGCACTCATACTAGCACTATTTCCACTGGGCACTTTCGTAGCAGCCACAGCTGCAGAACGCAACAATTCGGGTATTGCATATCGGTTGCTATTATTAGCATTGCAACCATTATTGTGTTGTTTTCCAAGTAACTGCAATTCATGCATGTTCCATGGATTCATCATATTTTCGCTTAGTATATCTTGGTTTCGTAATAGAAGAAAGTGATACAGGTAGAATCAGGTAAAATCTTTACCTGCACATGAACCTCATAAAAACAGTCCTACAAAGAGACTAGAAAACCTTTACTAAGTGAAACGACCTTTAGTAAATGAAACGTCAGTAATATACGAGAACGGTACTAAAATTCTTTACGGCTGGTTACACTGAACTAAAAAATTTGCTAGAAAGTCTAAATGGACCTCGAGACCTCAAATGTACGATGAACGGAAATCCTTTTTTTTGTAAACTGAAATTATAAAACTGAATTTCGCAAAAACATTCCATAAGTATGTGAAACTATTTCGAGACAGTGCTGACAAAAAAACTCCACCTTAACTACTGTACAGTGGAAGTTTACCTCTTAAGTTAAATGAAAATGCTGAGAGGATTAAAGTACACCGTGAATACTTAGGAGATTGAAATACAACTTCGTATCGACTCAAATCATTTTTTGAAATAATCCGTAAAATTTGGAACCTCAAAGCACGAAATTCATTTTCGGTTTTCCACTATACTAAAAATATTTCGGGGAATTGAAAAGCAAACTTTGTTTCGTTCCTCGGAATTTAGTGAAGCGAGTACAATGTTTGGATCAACAGTTAATCCTTCCATCTGCACTAACTGTTGCTCTAGTAGTTCCCGCTGTTTCTTTCGTTTTTTCTTTAACCTTTTCTTTTTGTTTTTTGACATCGCTTCTTCAGCCTGCAGAAAGAGATTTTGATCTTTTTCCTTACGTCAGAGACAAAAGGAAACACTAAAGATGAAAAGGCTGGGTCACGCAAAGTAATAATGTCCCATACGTATTTCCAAATAAATGTTTATGAGTAAAGATTGCAAGAGCTCGTGAGTAGATGGAAAACAAAACCGAAATATATATGTCTGGGGTTTCACTATAAACTCCAGCTCTAGCTTTGCGATAAACAAAAACAGTAATTACGTCACTTTCTAAAGGAACTGTATTGCATAAGAAAAACACACTTTCTTCACCATATGTTGCGGAGCCGTACTTACAGCACTTCCCGACAACTTGAAGCCCATTTTGCCCGATAAAATCGCTTCTGCCGCTATCTGCAATATTGAAAAAAAAAAACCACTTCGAAAAAACACGGAGATTTCTAAAGGATAAAATAATAATGTTAGTAATGATTACGCTAACCACATAACATAATTTTTAAAATGCACACCAAAGAAACAGATTAGATTCCGGATCAAAACTTCGGAGAACAGCACAATTCTCCTTTTGCGTAGGATTGGTTTTCAAGGAACAACAACTTTCTGTTTCCGGTTTGAAAACGAGGAAAACGAAATCCATATCACAATATCTTTTCACGAAAAAAGAAAGACGAAATAATTAAATATCACATACCCGCCTCACTTGTTCATGTGTCATTGTAACGAGGACATTTTCTGGTTTAATATCAGTATGTATAATTTGACACTTGTCGTGAAGATATTGTAGTCCCTCTAGTACTTGTTTAATGATAACGCGCACCTGTTCTAATGGGAGACCCTGATAATTACTTCTGATGATCAACTTTAGTAAGTTACATCCAAGGACCTAAAAATTTTTTTCCACTGAAAAATTATTACATGGCGTAAAATAACTAATGTTAACTACTAATCTCCCTAACTAACGTATTATTATGAGTTTTATTAGAATAGTATGGCGATAATGTCCTTATTACATTATGCTATTTTTTACACATCGTTTGGAAAAGTTTTTTTGAAATAGTGTAACACCTACTAATTCCTGCCTTGCATACAGCCCACATGCAAATACCGAGTTACATTACCGAGTTATTCGCAAACCTAACATTCTTACATGCAATAAAGGATAAACAAACTTCGAAAACCATGCAAACATGCGTTCCATTAACGCCGGTTACTGAAAATTCATCTAGAAGTTGCACAACCCGTTCACGGAACACATCTTTCGCGTCTGCATTACGTACTGCCATCAGCAACTAAAATTTTGATAAATAAAAGTCACAAAAAGAAAGCACTTTTGATGGGTAACATATATATATATATATATATACATAATATAAAACAAAATAAGAGAACCCGAAAACTGGAAAAATCAATAAATCACTTCATAAAAGATACCAGATCAGTGTAAATTAGACACTATCGAATTATAAGAAATTTAGATTTTAAATCTCTTTTTTATATCTTTTCCACATGCTGGATGCTGAAATTTTAAAACCCACAAAAATTCATCACATGTCCGAACATGAACTCAAAATATTCAAATGAACTCATGAAAGTTATTACTTTGATTTCATCTAACGCCGCTTCCGTGTAATGTTCAGCCGATTTTACAATTTTCATCGCAACAAAACGCATCTGCACCGTATCCCAACAAAGCCAAACCGTCGAAAAATGGCCCCATCCCATCTTTCGAATCACATGATAACTATAAAACAAAAATTGAACGTAACGGTTTTAATTTAACAAAAAATCAATAAAAATGACGAAATGCTATTTGTACAAGTATTCGAGGAAACCAGTAATAATTACCGTCCATTGAACACATCACCAATTGCAACAGGATGATAACCGCCCTTCCGATAATCTTTGGGATCCTCCTGTTCTTCGTCATCACTTCCAAGTACTTCCTCCTAAATTATCACAATAGTTTTATTTAACACCACCTTGAAGTTTCATTGAGCAATGCATCAGAAACGTGTAATACAACTGTTATGGACTGTTTGTTTTTTTGTCCAGCCAACCATATACCTGTTCTCGTTCCATTTCATCATCACCATAAGCGCTTTCACTCCCAGCACTCGGTGAACCAGCTGATGGGCCATTACAAGAATCATCTGGAAGCACCAGTTTCGTGCCCGGAGACGGGGTACAAGGAAATTGGTGATTTGCTCCATGAGGATTCTGAAGCATTAAAATTGCAACAAAAATTCTGCTGAGATTTCAAATCACAAAGAAAGCAAGGTTGAAAAAGAAAAAACTTCTAGCTGAAAAAAATTCCTAACTCCATAAAGAGTAGAGGGAAAAAAATAATTCTATACCGAATTTTGTCAACTTACTCCGCGGAACTGAAGCAACGGAAGAGCGAAAATAAGGATGAATCATAGAGAGAAAAAAAAGAGAGAAGAAAAAAAAAAAACTAAAGTTTCGGGGAAACTCTACTACACTACAATAAGTTAATATAATGTCCAAGAAAGAGAATATTGCTGAAAAATACATAAAAAAAGCATATTTGAACATACTAATGATTTGATAGGTGCCAACGGCGTAACATGATGATTCTGTTGCTGCAGAACACCATTCCCCAAGGTTTTTGCAGAATTCGTTAGGGCACTTGATGCATTTCCGGATTCATTGAGAAATTTACGAGTTTCAACTGAGACGCTGCCATCGAACGTTTTCGATTTTTTTAATTTTATTGCGTCATCATTGTTGTTGCAACCTGCCATCGTAGATGCAGTCGTCTTATTCTCATCCCCACTGAAAAACCGAATTTTTTTTGATGGAATTGAGATTTTAAAGCATAAAAAAATAAAAGCTTTCAGCAGAAATTTATTGAATGTTTGAAATTTCTTTCTTTTGTTGAATGTTTCTATTGAAGTGTAGGTAATATTAGAAATATTCAGAACGAGATAAATTCAATATATAGAGATCTGATGGATGAAATTGGTGAAGTGATCAATCAATTGAAAGAAAAGAAAAAAGAAACTGATACAGTGATCTATATTCCATTTTTTAAGAAGTAAATGATTTAATATTAAAAATGCTAGTTTGAATACTGAAATTCAAAACCTATCAAATCACAGAATGCAGAATAAAATACGGGAACAATAAAGGAATGAAATCTTTCTTTTATATGCTTTTAAGCCAAACAAATATATCAAGGATACCACTAGGGAGAGTATGGAAAAAGAGAAAAGATTGCAAAACTGGACGATTCAGTTCTTCAAAGTACTGGATTCATTGCCTTATGCTATCACTGCAAACAGTGAACCCTGTAAAGTGATGCTAAGGAACTATTGGCATGCCACAATGTGTCATACAAGAAGGTGATGACCAGTTCACATAAAATATATTGCAACTACCACAAATAATTATGCATGGCCGCATAACAAGTCATCTGAATTATTCGTAAAAAAAAATTTATGAAAGGAATAAAAAATTCAAAACCAACCGAAAATCTAGTAACAATGCGTAAAAGCTTATTTAGTGTAACCAATAGTCCGGCACGCTGTCAAACCCAAATATATAAGGCAAAAAAAATCACCTCGATGGGATTATAAGCGGAATTCCTTTATCACTTCCGTCCTCGAACAACGTATCATAACAGCTCAAAAAAAGGTCGTTTTCCTCAAGAAATAGATTAGGTGATTTCGCATCATAAATTCGCTCGTTAAATCCCGAAATTACCATTAATTCTGTATTTCCAACATTATCTTTGCAAATCGAAATATAAGATCCAAAATCTGATGCCACCGATTCAGAATCCAGATGAATGGAAGAGCCACCATCATAAAACGATGACTGGGATGATAAATTGGGATATATGTTCCTGGTATCCACATTGCCTTCGCCGTGCTCCATAGATGGAACGAAATTTAACTCATGATCAAATTGTTCACTGCGAGTTTCCAACTTCCAGTCTAACAATCTGTCGCCATTTTCACATTCTGAATTAGTTACACCCTTTCCAACTTCATGGTTATATAAAAGTCGATTTTCTTGTGATGATGACAGTAAAACATGATTGCCTATACAAAAATTGTTGTTTACACTACTGTTAGATTTATCATACTCTGAACAATCAATATGGAAGGCCATGCTGGAACACGGATCTGAATTTGCATACTGTTGAGTATTGTCTGATATCAGAAATGGATAACGACGTGAAGGCAGCGAAGTAGGCAACGATTGTAAAGAACGTGACAGCCATGAAGATTTCAAATTTTTGGAAGATTCCGATATAGATTCCGTTCTAAGTGGATCAAGTGGTACAACATTTGGAATAAGTGATTCATCCAAAAGTTTATCACCACGTTCTAAGGCTACTGCTAATAGCGATGACAATTGCGATAAAGAAGGAATTATCTCCTGGAAATGATATTCACCATTTAAAGTACCGAAATATTCGTGAAGCATTACTTCTTTATCTTTTTCATTTGCTGAGTTCAGTATGTCCATAAAATCTGTGATTTTGAAATCAAGTTCTCCCTTCATTTTGATGGAATCTAAGGACTTTTCATTCGACTTTCGAATATTACTATTTGCGATAGATTCTTGCACTATCCGCATATCTCGTTTTGTAGAAGTCAGCAGCGGTTCCTCATCGCTTGTTCGTTGTTCCAATTCATGAATTGACCCGTAAGATGTGGTACAATCTGACAAAAATTCATCAGGATCATTATCATCATCTGAATTTATTTGATCGCTTTTGGGTCTCGAATTTGTAGGACTGGAGAGTTCATTAACCTCAGGAACCGTTAAAGAATATAGACGAGAGAGTACTTTATAACCTGTAGCAGATAGTGGTGAAGTCCTCCGGTTTTTTTCCAAGTATTCATCTCTCTTTTCATTTTCCTTCAACATCGCCAAATTCAACGCTTTCTGCTTCACATTCTTTTGTCTTGGTCTTAATGTATTGTACCAACGACTTAGCACCAAAATGAACATTGGAATTAGCACCAAAACGAACATTGGAATTAGAACCCAATGAGCTGACAGAAAATTTGTGAAACCTAATTATTCAAGCCGAAACAAGAACAAAAACTACGTTTCTGTTCTTGTTTCTCTTTTTTCTTCAATTGAACAGTGATATTAGAGACTAGCGAATATGGAAAAAACAGTAGGAAAACAAAAGAACAGCAGAACAAATAATAGTGTTGCTCTTCTGATAAGTAGAGCTGCAACTGTGTTAATAAAGTAGCAATGAAAGTTCAAAACGTGATGCACTTTTTAAATTGCTGCTGAAAAAAAATTCCTAGCAGTAAAAAAGCATAGCACAAAAAATAGCAAATCGGATATAATAAAAATCTGTACTTCATTCGAACAATGCATAAGACGTCGTCAACCATGCAGTGAATTAATTTGCTAATCTGTCAGTTTTTAATCCCTTTGACATGTTGAACAACTAAATTTGTCTCAAATGCAGAAGAGATTTTCGGAATTCAAAGTTCAAAAATAAAAGTCGCAGCGCAGAAAAATTGCAATAGCTTGCCAGATTTTTTTAAATGTAAAGGAAAGTTACTGAGTATGCCAAATTCCTACGCCAGTAAAAATCCACTATCAGTGAACTGAGACTATCGGATGCTACACTGTAATTAATAAAATGTAAATAAAGATGAATTTCAACGCCTGATATTAAAAAAATCACGAAAGATCAAAAAGGAATTCATCATAGCGAAAAAAGGTTTGGCAATGTGATAGGTTCTAGAGTAGAAAACAACTACTCAGAGTAAGTAGCACATCCTGAATCTATCCTTTTGCAGATGGTAAGGGTGAAACAATGCCTGATTTCTCCGAAATTTCTAAATATGTCAATGTATAACGATACATGAGCCAATAAGTCCTTGTGACGATAGTTAAAAATCTGGTTAGCTCGGTTCATTATTAATATGCATTGCCTCTACTGCCTCAATGAATATGCGTTTAAAGATAATTTATGGACGAAATAATGTCGAATAGTGATGTTGATATTTCATAGACAAACTCAGCAGTTAGTAAATTCAAGTAGCTTATGTTAGGTTCTTCGTCTTTCACAGTTTCACTACCACTTTAGAAGATTTTGAAGAAACGACTCACAAGCCAATAATTTCTGCAGCTCAACGTGGTTTAGAAATAAAGAAATAAGAATGACGATGTACACAGAAAGAAATGACGGAAGCTCACTACGAGCTTCTTCTATTAGATTTAAGTCTATGTTTTCAGCACATGCCAGACGAAACTTCCGCAAAAATATTACAGGAAAATGTCCTATCAGTTGCTAGAGAAATAAATTTCTGGAAAAAGCAATTGGATTGAGGGGGCTAGAGAAGATTCAAAGACTTGAAAACAGCCAGTTTCACAGAGCGAGGGTTATGACATCATTTTAACATAAGTTTAAGGGTAATAAACGATGCTAGCTATGAAATATTTTCAACAAAAACCTTTTTCTTAGTGGATGTAAACCTGCAAAAGACGAAGTCTAATCCGACATACAGAGGCCTACCCATAGCAAAAAGCTAATCAGACGAACAAGTAAAACAGGCGAAATTTGATCAAAAAGTGGCTCAAGATGAAATATTAACGTAAAAATTTTTTCACTCCTCGAAAAGAGCAGCTACGACCAAATGGTTCAACTCCGCCCAGTGTAGAGTTTAAATAAATGAATAATATCGCGTTCCAGTGTACGCAATCGTAGAATAAATTGCAAATCCAAAATAAAAGAAATTATTTGTTGAATCAAGCACGAGCAGAAAGGATTAACGACCGAAGAATATGGTTCCTTAAAGTTGTGAAGAGGATCTGCGGCGAAAATTTGGTCCAGCTAAAGCTGGCATATGAAGTGGAACCACAAGGGATGAAACTCGCTCACGCAATTAAATAAAATTTTCAGTCTGCATTTCCTATTTTACCTTAAGATATTGGAAGCTATCGTGTTATGAATTTGGATATATTTGGAGATATTGACGGGACTGAAAAAGAACATGATTCGTAACAATAAAGGATATATGCTACTCCATAATCAGAAAAAACATAAAAGCTGACAAATACAAATAAAATTTCTAAACATGATAATGGATATGTAAACAAAATACGTTACTATGTTGGAACTGTAAGATCTATTAGGCCAAATATCAGAACTATACAATTTTTAAACACATCTTTAAAAATTTGCTTCGTTTTCTCCAAAATTTTAAAACCCTTTTTTTTTGAGAATTTGAAATGACACCAAATAAGCAAAAGAGTTCGGTCCTCATGGAAATCTCCCGAACAGAGCAGGATGAGTGGTAAATAGTTTTCGCTGGCGGATGAGTTTAATCGCTTAAATATTACCAGGGTACATATATATATATATATATTAGCACATCCATTCGATGTCCCTTATACCTTAGCACAATAGTGTATAACATTACAAGTTGACTATACGATAGCCTAAGAATAGTTTGCTCAATTCAAAATCTAAATACACAACACATATATACTTTTTTGTGCCTACACATGCTAAAATATGCATCATACTTTATTTACTTCGGAATTACTCACTATTGCTATTTTGTACCATAAAATACATTCAATCTCAATATTCCAGTTTCAAATATTAGTTACGTATACGGCAAATGTTAACTATTATGAAGCAACTATTATAAACAAAATGATTCTGGCTAAAATTTATGCATATCTTTGATGTTTCAATTATAATAGTAGCAGTTATAATATTCAGAAGGAAAGATTTGATTGAAACTACAAAAAAAAAAGAAAAAAAAACTTGACTAAAATAAATTCTTTCGGCATCTATTTCATAATGTTACAGCAATCCTGTTTCAAATGCTTCAAATATCCCAACTTTAAAACAAAATGGGTACACTGCAAATTAATTTTTTTAACTCTTGATAGAAGGATATAATCCAGACGGATCTACTTGTAGGAAATGTACCAAGATCTTTATTTTTCTTAGGTATGGAATTTCTCTAGTGTCTTTTTTGTCACTACACTTTTCCGGTGACAAGTTTTGACATGCATTACCTTAACTGATAGAAGTTCAAACTAACGATTTTATGGATGCAGTTTGTTCGGCACCATTTCCAACCACTTGAGGCGGTTTTTTTGTTCCATTCTGAAAATTTAAGTAAGCTTAGAATACTGCAACCATCAATTTAGCGGTGCATATATTAAGAAATACAGTGATATAATAAGTGAACAAAGGAAGAATACGACAGGATTAAAACCTTTATACTCATTTGGGGGAAAAAATGTACGGAAGTAACTGCATAGTAAGTTGCTAGCAGAGTTGAAGGAGTTTATAAACAGCTGTACCCAAAAATGAAAAACACTTCCTCGTGATAATCAAACTTCCTAATACAAAATTTTCAAACCTAAAAAAAGACTGTTTAGAAAATCTTAAAATTAGAAAATAAATGCAACTGCAATAAATTTCCAAAGTAATAACTTTCAGAAAATACTCGAGATGAAAAAATAGAGAGAAAAGTATATATTAAAAGACAGAAATGATATGCACCACCCACAAAATTATTTCGTGAAATATGTGGCGATAAATGTTGAAGGACAATTTATAATGGTAAAGAAATTGTTCAAATCAATGCAATCGTCGTAACAATTAACTCTATTCTTAGGGAACTGCACATTCACGATTCGTAGTTATAAGTACAATTTTTGGGACTGTGAGAAGATATGCAAAATACATAATTATATGTAAAATATATAAATATAACACATGCAAATTTGTAAAATACGTAGCTATAATAATCTATTCTCTCCTCAACTTTCATTTCATCATAAACATTGTAATCTCCCGAGAATCACCAATGTCAGGTTCGGGGTAAAATGTGCCGCGACAAAGAAAGAAATGAATCTGACCAGTTTTTTTTTTTAAATTTTTACAAAATTATGAGCATGAGACCCATATTTCTTTGAACCAGTAGACACATTCTTTGTAACAATAAACACCAATTAGAAAGATCAATCAAACTTAAAACTTCAAAAGATCAAAATTTACTATCCTACTGAAACTGAAATATATACATATTTCATAAGTTTTAGGAATATTAATCAAGAAAAATGGAAAGGATGCCGCTGAGAGAAAACCCCAAGTACCACATTATTAAAATAGGTGAAGAAAAGTCCAAGGGATAAGATGGTACTATGTGATGAAAGAGAAAACATGACGAGTGGACATACAGCGATTAACAGAGATGTAATTTTTTCAAAACTGAAGATTTTAAGGTTAGTAAAATAAGTTCCAACAATAGGGAAAGAACTATGAAAACGAAACAAAAGTTTAGGAAAGGATACAGATCACGCTTCGAAAGATCCAAGACTTACTGTAATTTCAAGTTAAACTCAAACATTACTAATCAGTAGAATTAAGATATTCTGCAATCTTTTCTTTTCAATCATGCACTGTCATCTTTCCGTCCGTGTCACTATTTAGAAATTCTGTGAAATATTTCTCCAAATATAATGGTCTCTTAACCTCTCCCTAGGTTTCAAATAAATTTCGAAAAAATAAATTTCGCTTCTCTTCCTTCCCCTTCCCCTCTCTGCTACTTTTTATTCGATAACTAAGGATTTCTCAGCATTATTTCAAGCTAGGATAATGCAAACAAATTGATACTAAAAGACATACCTTTTTTTTGTTCTTTCGTTTTTTCTTCTTCTGTATTGCCAATACTTTGCGCTCTTCCTTTGAAGTCATTCTCCTTGGGGCCAGTCTTCTTTTACCCAGTTTTTGCTGAAGGGATGACAAGCATTTGATGAAATTAACACGCACAGGCTTTTCTCCTCAATTTTTAGAACTCCACAACGTCGCTCCCTGAAAGTAACTTATGAAGGCATCTGCGGCCTCAAGACTAACGTACTCCATCGAACAATTTTTGTTCCATTATAACGATCTTATAACAATCACATATGATGAAAACAATAAGAGGCGAGAAAAACAAAGTGTAAATCACTAGGAAAAAAAGAGAAAACAGCACAACACTTAAACTATTTTGTACCATCACTTCTGTTTTCATTCCTTGTCATATTAACATCATCTTCTGGACGACCCTGATATTTAGACCTAAAGAAGAAAACAAACGACACTGGAAAAGCTTATTTTGGTGGTGAGGTAAAGGAAAATCCAAACACTTTCTTCTTTCATTAATGCTTTTTCTCCAAATACTTCTTCAGAAATTAAAAACTGAAACGGCTGTTAAAGAAAATCCAGTAACTTATATCCAAGACTTCGACAACACGCTTAAAACACTAAAAGATTGCGAAAGCAATTATCTGATCAGTAGTCTTGCTCTCAAGAAAATGCTCCTTTCTTCATCTCCGCGAGTACGATATGTAGAAGAACTTGCCTCACAGTTTTTACAACGCAATGAAATGCTGCGATGATTGGAAAACGGTGAGGTAAGCGAAACTCGACAACACCCGGTCAAGCAAAGTCAAAATTGCACAAATAAAGAGACAGTGGCTTTGATGTAAGTTATATAAGGCAGGAAATGTGCCACTGCCAACCAAATTATTGAATGCAAAACTATTGTGCATCAAGACGTGTGCAGTATCTGGCACGATGAGTTGTGCGTGCCATTGTAACAGGAATCGATTGCACGAGATCCAATAACAATACACCAAAGCGATGACAAATCTCCTAGAGCAACTCGTTGCAAAACAGAAGCTCTGCGCCAGTTTTATTCCTGCTTACATCAGAACCTTGATACATCTTGAAAAACTGAAAAGCCTTCAGCCTACAGTCCATCTTTAAAATACATCTTTCCTCTTTTATATAAATCATAAACAACTTTTTCGGCAACTTCATCGATGCAGTTTTCCTGAAGCGTTATCGCAACTTTATTTACTCTCTTAAGGCTCACTTCTGAAAAGGAAACACTCTTTAATCTGGATCTGTAAAAATGGAGTTTCCATTGCCTTTGTTTACTGTTACCGATAGCAACTATTTGCTAAATACTATATAGGATAAAAATATAAATATTATATAGGATGAAGTGCCAAGACTCACCTCGCGTTTCAATATTCTTTGCTATATATCTCGAAAAACTGAAAAATTTCTTTTCATGCCTTCAACAACACTTAGGGCGCCTTAGAGTATGTTTAATACTTAGAAAGTGACACCAACATGACGAAGATTAATTGATATGTGGTTGCAATGCAATCAATGACTTTATATATAAGTTAAATGATGCAACCTTTCAAGCTTGCTTTTAAAAATCCAGTAAACGTTATTCTGCAGTAAGTAAAGAGTGATACTGTGTACAAATTTAATCACAGCAATGTAGTGGATGTCACAAAACTACGTATCTGTTCTTTAACTACCAGTATTAATAGGAAAATAAGAAACACATCCCCCAGTGCAAAACCGAGAAGCAATGTGGTAGATGTGAAGAAATCACGTTTGCAATATTGAAAAAATATTCAAATAAACATTATCATGCGTTTAGTCAACAGTATAAATGAAAAGATATAATATCCATTAAATCTTAACAAACCTGCTACTATAATTAATATATCAATCCAAACTTTTACCTAGTAAATAAGATAACAGCACAAACATGAAAAATTGTTTTCCGGAGCACGGAAACGAAAAATGTCGTGCTCATTAAGCTCTACAAGGTTAGTGCTGAAACATAAGGATAACTTGCTAACTCTGAAGTGTACTTGCATGTTTGCGCTCCTATCTTACTGCCAAATATATGCAGCTGTTTTATTTCGTAAACGAAATATTCCATCCACTTCATCTGCTTAGAACGATTTTACCTGCAGACTCTATCTTATCGATTTTTATGCGCAACAGAGAAGTGCACCATTTGATTAATTAGCACATTCGATAACAAAATCGATCAGCTATTACGTACTGGAATAGTATGGTATGAAGTAAAACATATACGAAAGGTATCCTACGGTCCTGTCCGATAACTGATGACCGTCACATGACGGCCACTGCCATCCAATGCCGTCCAGACCATAGTTCAAAGACGTACACGGCTCTCCGTGAGGAAATCCTCCGTCGTGCTGGATCTGTGCCAGAGTGGCACGGATTCAACCGTATAAGGACGCTGTGCAACTTACCATCCCGCAGATGCATGGTTAGAAAATTTGATCCCCTCTCCATCTTGTTGATTCGAACATAGAGGAAAAGCCAATTCTTCTCATCCACTCAGTTTATTTGAGCAGCAATGATTCACTATTTCTGGCCTCCTTGGCTGTTTGTTTATTGCTTTCAAGAAATATACCGTTAAAGTGTAAAGGTGATAGGCCTTCCTCGATTTGATACCTCTTAATTGTGCAGAAAGCTTTTATCACTGCCAAATTGTTTACTGGTGATGCTAACATTTGCACAATTTTACACATACATATGATTTACATACACAACATACTGAACTGAGCAAGTAATCAATAAAACATATTGAAATTGATATGATTAAAAAATTTACAGTTAATTTGAGCTTCGACAACCATTGCCACTGTGAAAAATGAGCCAGCATGAAAGGAGAAATGGTTTCAAAGGTATGTGGTTCTTCGAACCTTAATAGTTTAAATTAAGTCTTTTATAAATCTTGAAATCTTTATTTTGGTCCTCGAGCAAATCTTTGCAAATCACATCCGTCCCTTATTTGAAAACCGCATTGATTTACGAACAACCGGAGAAATAAAGTCAAATAGAAGGAAAGAAAACACATAAGATGGCAGCTGGAACAAATAATCGACAGACAATGTTACCTCGTACAAAAAATATGCAGTAAAAGCAGACTTTTTCTGGCCCCAACGGAATTATAACGTCAATCCCGGAATATCCTTGAACTGAGAGGACTTTCTCATATTGTCTCTAACAAGCCAGCATATCTTATTTTTTACTGTAACCATTTGAAACGATACATAATTATCGCATGAGAGACAAATCCTCTGCGTTTAAGCGAGGACTCGAACTCTGCACAATTTAGAATTCAGATTTCAACTTGAATTAAATCTAACTTCGCAAGTTATTGCTAATGATCACGGTAGTAGGAAAAAAAAAAAAACAATAAAGTGTTGAGATCATACAAGCAGTGCACTTGAAACGGGGACTTGTTACTGCTTCTGATGATGACAATGACTACTCTGACTGCAGTAACGATTCCTTGATGGACTACTCCACCATTTATAGAGACATACAAGTAACAGGAATTCGAAACGGTTTTCTAGCCTAAAAATGTCTACGAATGGTGATAAAATTAATGTGAAAACATAACATATGTTGAATTAGCCATTCATATGGTACATTTCCCGAGAATGATTCCATGACTCAGGAAGACAAACAGACAGTCTCGAAAGTGTCCATGTAATTTTGTTTCCAAATGAGCAAAACAACTAACTAAATATGCTGTATTTATTGAATAGAATATCCTTTTTAAACCCTTAATTTCTAAGCTCAGAGGATAATTATTTAACGCTCACAGGTCTACAAGTTAGTCAACAACAATTATGCCTTTGATGTTTTGTTTTGTCTAATTTTGTCCATAAATAACAATTAACTAAAGCCACATTCTTCAAAGGCTGAAAAGAAAGAGTAGAATAAAACCAGGAGAAGCAAATTTTCTGATCCAATACACATCTATTAGGTATTAATCAAAATGACGATGCTTACATTATCACAGAGGATCAAATTTCACTTTTAGTGCCTCATGGAAAAACAATAGTGTATAACACAGCTTACTTCATAATCTAGCTTGCGTGTCCCCCGATTTCAGCACTCTTTCAACTAATCATTCATCCGGAGGACAAAATTAAATTATGAAAGTGGTTCTTTATTATTTATATTCTCTTTGTTAATCAGAAAAAAGAAGCAACCTTCCGGGTGTAATATCAACTTCTAACCAGCTGACAACTTGCATTACCCATAATCGATAAAGAACTGATAATTTGCGATGTGTTAAATCGATTTCGCAGAATGCATGATAAATACTCGAAAAGACAGCGAAGTTATTAAACAAGTGAAGAAAAAACAATGGAAAAAGCACATGGGTAAGGCAACTTAAATAGATGATCCATATAATGTCAACTTTTTCCAAGCGATTACTTCAAAAAAACGAGAAAAATTAGCATATCGACTTGTTAGATGCTTTTAATAGCTAATGATTGGTACAAATCAAATCTAGACAACATGAAGATCTTTTCCTTTTCTGCGGAGAAAGCGTAAGCCTCAGTTGTTGACTAGGACCACGCTTTCTCCAAATGTCATTTGTTTCAACTAAAAGACGGGATCGATTTGATCCCGTCTGCTTACTTCTTCTTCTTCAAGGGACAATCCTTGGAAGTATATACACATGATTCCCAACCCAAACTTCTCAAAACATTCATACTAACAGAAACATGTATCATTTCAGTAAAATGAAGCGATGGAGAAGCATTAGCCAAATCCATCTTATCATTATTAGACTCTTTATCATTCTAGCAATCCAACATTAAGAAATAGATGGATTAACCTGAATATTGCCGTTGAGAGCCAGTACGCAAAAAGGACATCGATGGTATAATGAGTCCTACTAATGACCATACAGACCATGCCAACCCATGATAACATACGTGATATATATCTGCAGAACACTGACTTAACATGAGTATTAAATTATCAAGAAAAAATTAATAATAACAATAATAAAAACCTGAGTGCTCTAAATGAGTAGGCAAATAATAAGCGACTGTTAATGAGCTGACAACCATAGCTAATGTGTGACCCGAGAATAATAAATCACTACATAACATTTCGTCATCCATAGCCTGAAAATAAAAATTCAATAACAAAAATCTTGAAAAAAAATTTTTGCTCAGTTAGCCGCAGTGTTCAGTTAACTGCCAATAAATTATTCGTATGGGAAATATAGATGTTAACAAGAAAACTTTCACAATCTGTCTCAACGATTGCAGAGTAGGGTTTCCCACAGAATGAAAGAAACGGGGAGAAATCGAAGGAGGTAAAAACGTTTTTAATTAGATGGGGTCGTTGTCCACGGAATGGTGGACAGGACTTTCCAAACATTCAGCGAGCAGATGAAACAATCATTTTGCCATTTGTTTTCAGATTAATTAGCTTAATATCAAAATTTTTTTAAAAAAAGGCTTAAGAAATTAGAATGTGAAAAGTGTTTGGCAAAGAAACCTATATAATGGCCTGGAATCCAAGTTTTCCAGCTTGAGACAAGGCACGCCATGCAATAACATTCCATTCCTGACCCTTATGATTGCTCTGATTTCGGCAACGCTTATTATTATCGATATAATCAGGAGGTAACTGTGTACACAACAATGATATCGTTCGC